ATTGAAAACTCAGAGCATTCAGTAGGGATGGCAAAAAGGGCATATCTTAGAAATGGGGCTAAACCAGCCTACAGCAAATGCTGCTCCACAACAGAACTAAGAACAAATCCTGAAAGGATCAAACTAATCTCTAAGCCAATCAATCGCCTGCCAAGACAAACTCATTAAAAGTACTCACTCATTCAATATTCACTCATTCAACACTCATTAAAAGCAAAAATCAAAATCCAGACATTGATCAACTTAATATTCACATTGCCCCAAAATCCAATCAAAATTTCTAGACATGCAGAGAAGCAGAAAAACAGGAACCATAACCAGAACAAAAATCAGTCAACAGAAAGACACAGAAATGACACACATGACAGAAACAGGATACAAGGACTCTGAACTAGCCAATACAGATGAAAAAGTGCTCAACATCACCCATTACCAGGAAAATACAAATGAAAACCATGATGAGATACCATCTCACACCTGTCAGAACAGCCAAAATTAACAACACAGGAAACAAACACTGACAAGGATGCGGAGAAAGGGGAACCCTCCTACACTGTTGGTGGGAATGCAAACTGGTGCAGCCACTCTGGAAAACAGTATGGAGGGTCCTCAAAAAGTTAAAAATAGAGCTACCCTACGACCCAGCAATTGTACTGCTACCCAAAGTATACAAAAATACAGATTCGAAGGGGTACATGCACGCTGATGTTATTTATAGCAACATTATCATCAATAGCCAAACGATGCAAAGAGCCCAAGTGTCCATCGATTGATGAATAAAGGTGATATATATAACGACTGAGCCACCCAGGCACTCCACGAAGTCATTATTTTAAAATATACATACATTTCCCAGCTCTATTCAACTAAAAGAGCCTAGAAGTTATGGAAAAGAAATGGTTTACCATATACAAATAAACAAGCAAGTAAGCAATATCATCACGGATTATGTGTGGGTGGTAGGATTACCAGATTTTCCAAAATTTTTTTGTACTTGTATTCCCTCTCCCTCCCAAAATACTAAAACTGACACCATTTCTTCCAGTAGCAACACCCTTACTACTTCAAAATGGAAATCTCACTACCTAAGAAACTGTTTTAGCCAAAGACTCAGTGAATCTAAATAAACCACTGACTATAAGTTACAGCTTGGTAAATCACATGGAAAAGGACACTTACTCTTCCTTAAGTCTCTTTTGAAGCTTGTCTTTTGAAAGTTTACTTTCACTGGCATTTTTCATCATATCTTTCCGAAACCGGTTGCTCATCATGTCAACCCTATTAAAAACAAAACCGTATGCTTTAAATGACTTTAAAAGATTCGCCGTAGCTAGTTGTTGCCTTTAAAAATTTGAGAACACGTTTAATCAAATATAAGTCAAGATTTGTAAGGTACGGAATATCAAATACACATTAATTTTTTTAAAACGATAAACACGTAATAGAGAATGCTCTGAAAAAATACCAATGAATAATGACAAAAATCACACCAATTAAGTAGTTATTTCCCGCCCATTAAACTGACAAAGCCTGAAAAATAGATAAAGCATTATTTCTAAGAATGGAGTGAAATGGACACCTTTCAATTGGAAAGGTAAACTGGGAGAACCTCCTGGTCAGTCTGGCAGTTTTTATCAAGAATCTTACACATGCCTATGCCCTCTGATTAAGTGATTCTACCACAGAAAATCTTTCTTACAGAAATAATTAGAAAGGAAAAAAGGTTTATGCAGAAAAATATTTGTCTCCATATCAACTTATCAAAGGAAAAAACAGGAAAACCTATCTAATAATGCCTATGCAAATTATGGTTAATTTATATAGTAGACTACAGTACATCCATTTAAAAACGTTTATAAAGGTTTTTATTTTTAAGTGGAGATAAATGCTTGCAAGACAATACATTCTCATCTCTTACAAGTATAATATTGAGTGTGCTAGCCTTTTTTCTAGACTTTTCTCAGTTTCAGACATTGTGCTAAGAGCTCCACATACATTATTTCACTTAATCTCAAGAGCCTTCTGATATTACTATTATTACCTCCATTCGAAAGAGAAAAGGCAGGTTCCAAACTTGCCCTTGGTCACTTAGGAACTGGCCAAATTAAAAGGCAAACTCAAATGTGACACCAAACACTATGCTTTCTTTGCTATTTGATACCACACGCAAGAGAAGAGGGCAGGAGAGAAGAATGCCAACATGTTAACAGCGGTTCTCCCTCGGTGGTGGGTTTATGAATGACTTTTTCTTTCTTCTGCTTTACAGTATTTTTTAAATCTTCACGTAATCACGTATTTCTAAAGAGAACTTCTTTAAAACTTACAAAATAACTTTTTAAGTAACCAAAGGGTTTCTGAAAGAAAAATTAGGCAACCTACATTTCATCATCTTCATCTTCTTCATCCACCCAAACTGGCTTCTTTTGGAATAGAAAATTATCTTTTGCTTCATTCTCCACTTCCAAGTCACCTGAGTCTTCCTGTACTTGAACCTAGAGAAGACAAAATGCCCTCAAGCACTGAGTTTTTCAGCAGACGCACACACCTTACAGTTAAAATGTCTTGTGGAATGCTTTGCAGGCCCTCTGATGGAATAATGGGACAAAATACTACCACAGCAAATGCTGGAGGCAGAACAGAAAATGCAGAGATGAGAGAATGGCACCATATGCTGGACAGGCAGGTAGGACAAACAGTCAAGGAGCAAAAGTTGACATGCTGAAAGGAGAGGACCAAGTAAGATGGGAACAACAAAAGTTGACAGATGAGGAAAGGAGCTGGAAAAATCCCAGACCTACAGAAACGGGACCAGAGGCAGACTAACATCAAAATCACGTGACTGAATGCCATAACTGGCATTTCACATTCTTAGACATACCTCTTCATTGTTCATAACCATTCTTGACCCCCTACCTTAAGAAAATTTACACCAGACTATCAAATCTAAATCTACACCACAGAATACTCCCAGAAGTTGAGCATGAACTTTCCCCAAAACCACTAATAGCCATGTCCAAATATTTTCTTGCCCATCCGTTATGAGCCTACGATCCTCCAAAGCCCAATAAATCCCACCTCACACAGACTGTTCCTTTTTCTTGCCTATGCCACCGTCCCAAAAGCCAGCAGTTTTCCAGTAACAGTTCTCTATCTGCCAACGAGATTTCTGCAGCTTCCCTCATAAGCACCCAAAGGAAATACTGACAATCAATTGACACTGGCCGCTTGCGAGGTGGGCATTCATTTACCAGAGTATTCTCGGTGAGGCTTTGCTTGGTCATGCTACGAAAAATTTCACCAGCCTCTACACACACTCATCTTCCTTTCCCTCATGCTTTCTTTTTTTTTCTCTTCAGCACGCGTCACTGACATATTTGCATTTTACTTTCTTTTTCTGCCACTGGTACACGTGCTCCAAGAGAGCAAGAGACTTTTGTCTGTTTTTGCCCATTGCTGTGTCTCCTCCACTGCCTAGAACAATGCCTGGAACTCCCTATCTTGGAAGAAAAATCAGGTACAGCATACAAGAAATAATTAAAAATGTCCCCAAAAAGTTATAAAAAATGTGCAAAAAGGGTAAAAAGGAATGATAAAAAGCATGCAGGGTTTTCACTACCAGAAAAATATATGACCCCCAAAAAACTAACAATGATCTGGTGAACAAATACACGATCATTCTCAGAAGTTGGCCAATCACTCGGGAAGCTGTTAAAACCCACATTCTGATTCCATAACTACTGAATCACCGCAAGGTACTGAGGCAAGGGATCGAACGGCCACGAGGAAAGAAACACTGGGTTTGGAGAGAGCACAGTGGGACTGAGCCGCTAAAAATGCTCACGACTGCAGTTCGCTACACAGACGTGTAAAAGCGCCTGCTGGATACCAGGCGCAGGGGCTTCCCCCCCCCCCGGGGGGCGGAGAAAGACGAGGTCTCCGCCCAGCGGAGACTTCCAGTCTGGCACCCGTCGGCGCCCGCGTTCTCGGGCGCCTGCCGACCTGAGCGCTCCCGGCGCCGCAGGTCGCCGAGGCTCCGCCCCCGGAGGCTCACCGCCCACCGTGCGCCCCGCCCGAGCGCGCCCAGCCCGCGCGCCGCGGCCTCCCTCACCCGCGAGCCCTGCAGACGCCGCAGCAACGCGTCCTCGTTGTCCTCGACATCGCCGAACACCAGCTCTTCCAGGCACCGCTCCACGGCCGGCTTGTCCTCCTCCAGCGTCAGGCGGTTCCGCTGCCGGAGCCGTCTCTCCTCCTCCGCCGCGACTGCAATCGCAGCGGCCGCTGCGCTGGGCCGGGCCGGCGGTTTCCGCTGGGATGAAGGAGCAGCCTTTCGGGGCGGCCCGCCCGGCCCTGTTCCGGCTCTCCGGTCCGGCTTCGTTCGGCTCTTCCGGTCCAGCCTCACTCCGGTTCTCCGGTCCGGTTTCGTTCGGCTTCTACGTTCCGGCGGCATCGTTAGGTTGGAGAAGAAACGCAGGCGCTCACGTGGAACCTCGCTGCGCGTGCGCCGAGGCCGTTGGATTTCCGCGGCCGCTGAGGCCCCGCGGGGTCGTAAGGAGTCTGCGCGGTCTCTTAGCACGTGACCAACACTCTCTCCCTACGTAGCGCCCACTCCCCTCACCAACCCCTCCCCGTAGGGGAGTTCCTCCGGGAGAACCAATCTTCCGGGTGGAGGGGGAAGCGGCGTAACTGGAGTGGAAAATTTTTTCCAACACAACTTCGCAGCTGCAACTGATTGAAAGGAGCACAAGAAAACCAGAGTATAAGCTGGGATGAGTGAATGGAACTTCTACTTTTCTCCCTGACTTTTTAACCACTCGACTTAACACGAGCCGCGGTTGCCTTTTCCACCCCCTCGTCTTGGTACGGCCCTTGGAGTACGGAGCCTGCAGAGGGTCCCACGCTGGAGGAGAGAGAGAGGAGGGTATGTAGGGAAGTGGGCCAATCGGGGCGCGGGTCACGGCGCAAGCGCGCTGGGGAGGGAGGGCTATGCTAATGTTGTTGATATCCTGGGGCCACCCGAGTTAAAGGGGGGAAATCCGGGGGCTGCCGCAGCCGCCACCGGTCTGGGCCCATCGGGGGCCCCCCTGTAGTCGCCGTAGTCCCGGGGAGAGGCGCCTGCCCCCAGCTCGGGGAGGGGGCGCCGCGGGCCCGGGGAGCACGGACAACCCCTACCCATGAGGCCCTGATGGAAAACACAAAGGATCTGGTGAGAGCCGAGCGCGGCAGCCGCTTTGTGTGCTAGGGGGGGGGGACGCCTGCAGCTCCCCGACCCCAGGAACCCCTGCAGCTCTTTGACCCCGCTCCCAGGCCTGTTTCTCCATCCCACGCCCCCTCAACCTCCAGAGTCCCCCTCCCCCTACCGGCCGTTAACGATTCGGGGGTTCCCCTCCCCCCACCCCCTCAGCCCCGGACTCGGCGGGGTTCTCTCTACTCCCTCCACTCTTTGGAAGAAAAATTGTAGAAGAAAGTTTTTCTCTGCGTCCCGCCCCCCCTCCCCCTTCAGCTCTGGCTGGTGGAGGCGGGTGGGAGGGGGGAGGCTGGATTTGAGACTTTTCCTTTTTTAGCCGTTCAGGGTGGGAGAGTGGAGTCCTCACTTGCCCCAGAGGGGCCTAGTTTGGGTCTTTGCGGGGGAAGGTGCCTCTCCACTCCTGGGCGAGTGCCGCGAGGCATTTCGCACGTGGAGGTGGAAATACTGAAAGGGGGCGGGGTGGGCACGTGTGGGAGGGAGAGGTGGGAGTGGTGTTTGGGAGCAGCCACCTGGGGCGCTTATTTAAAAGGGTTCTAGGTCGGGGGGCTTTCGGGACCATTGCGTTCTCTTTTGTGAAATAAGAATCCTAATATTTCAGAGTCGGAAGAGACATTAGAGGTCACCCAAAGCAGCCGTCCCCTCTGCAGCCTCTCTGACAAGTGGTATGTAGTCTGGCGTCTGCTTAAAACCCTTACCAACACTGAACGCTCTCTGCTGCCCAGGAAAGCCCGTTCCGTTCGAATTGTTGTTTGCCTGCCCTTATTACACCCTTCAGTCTCATTCATGTCCTTGTTAAGTTGCTCCCTTTTTTACTTCTCAAATCTTCTCTCACATCCTCCTCACCCACCCACCGCTCATTGGCCTATATTTTGTGAGCCAGGAGAGAACAGCAGGGAAGTGGAGGAAGGAGGGTTTGAGAGATAGTGAGGGCCAGCTGAAAACTTTGCTGGGTCATTTTCAAATGCTCTGGCTTGTATGTCTGAGAAGGGTTGATATTTTTCTCCAGGAAGCTTGGGAATTACAGTCTGGGATTTCGTGGCCGTTTTCTCTCACTAGTGCATCTTTTCGTAGAAAATTCGGCAACACCTCTGTATTTCTCCTCTCTCAAAGCCCATTTGCTTGTTGCCTAAATCACTTTCCCTCAAGCTGCCTAAATTGTCTTCTGGGGATAGTACTGAAGCTGTTAGAAGCATCTCCTGGTACAGACGTCGTCAGAACTGTTCCCCTTCCCCTTCCTTTTGACCTGTGTCTTCCTTTCAAGCTGGGCTTCTTCTCAAAGCCCCTCCTTCAAAATATTTTCATTTCTTTCTTTATTATTACTTATTTTTGCAGTTGTCTTATGAGATTTGAAATTTTTGGAACACTTTTATATTTGCTTACAGTTTGCAGTAGTTTTCATATTCTTTACTTTAGTATATGCCACTTACCACTCAGTTGTTGAGATAGTTCCCTTTCTGCTGTTGTCAGTTAACGTTTTTCTAATGTTCTTCATTTGGTGAGCTGTGCTGCTTCCAAAAGTAGTTTTGTTGGTGTAAGAATCTTCAGGGCACTTGTTTTTCCTCTTCCTAATATACTGAAGTGGAGTCAAGACATAACATAAGATGTAGACGTAATGAATGTGGTCTAAAAGCCAGAGAATAAATTTCCTCTTAAACTACCAGTCCCCAGTTTAAAATACTGAAACACAGACATTTTAATCTCTCCCAGTGTCATGACTTAGATACCTACCATGCTTACTTAGACTGTATTCTTTTTGTTTACCTCAGCACCAATGAATGTTTAGAAAGAAAATAGCTTTTTTTTTTTTTTTTGCACCATCTCTTTCTCTGAATAACAAGTAGCTTCTATTTATATAGAACCCCATCTGAAGGCTTCTGGGTACCTTGCAAATTATGGCAAAAGTGTCTTGAATAAGTATTTGTTCATGAGTATCTTATGTTGGGCCATGTTTTTCAACAATCCAATTTTTAATTTTATAGTTTGATATCAATTTCACTAGAATTTAACATGGAAATGAATACCAGGTACTGAAAAAAACTGATAGAACTGTGTAATTCTGTCTTTAAAGTTCTAACTACTGTGGAGTTCCAGGTTATTTTCCAGCTCAGTTTAAACATGAACTGTCATGACTTAAGCTGATTGACTTTGGAGACATTTGCATTCTGAACATACTAGACAGGAACAACTGGTTTTATTTTTAAAGAGGACACTGTTGTATTTTTTGTGACTGGTTATATGCTGACCTGATTAGAGTCTAAACCTTGCTACATATTCAGATGCTTTTAGGCCCTCAAATTGTTTGAAAATACAACAGTAGTCTAAAAAAGGTAGAGCTGTAGGTTACAAGTGAAAACAGCATATTAATGTCATAAATACAAACCACTAGATTACTGAAAGCCAAGAGTGCTCAGTGGTTTGAGTGACCACATTCTAAAATTAGACAAGTCACTATTTTTTGGTTGCTCCTTATTTCTCAGTTTTCATCTTTAAAGTGTTTGCTGAATAAGATGTAACCTCTTCACATTTAAATATTAAGGTAAGCGAGTTAAAATGTAACATTAGTTTCAGGGTTTCAGATCCAAGAGAAAGATGAAAACATCAGGTCAATAGAAGAGGAGGAATTAAAATAGTTAAACAAGATAAGATATGTCTCGGGCGCCTGGGTGGCTCAGTTGGTTAAGCGACTGCCTTCAGCTCAGGTCATGATCCTGGAGTCCTGGGATCGAATCCCACATCGGGCTTCCTGCTCAGCAGGGAGTCTGCTTCTCCCTCTGACCCTCTTCCCTCTTGTGCTCTCTGTCTCTCATTCTCTCTCTCTCTCAAATAAATAAATAAAATCTTAAAAAAAAAAAAGATACGTCTCCTAACACCGGGGTATAAGGAACTGTCCAACACTACCTTTAGTTTTATACAAAAATTACAGATTGGTTTAGATTTAATCATGATTTTTAATGACTTTTTTAAAGATTTACACACACACACGCACACACACAGAGAGATTTAGACTTTTTCTTATTTGCTGGAACCCCCAAGAAAGGGAGGAAAGGAAATAATTCCTATATGAAAAAGCCTGATTTGAGGTGGGATGAAATGATATAGTAAGAGAGGTACGGGCAAACTAGGTTAGTGTTTCAGTTCTGCCACTGACTAGCTTTATAGCACTTGCCAGATGAAATTCTGGGCCTCAGTTTTCTCATCCTCATAGTTGAAGGGCTGGTTAGAATCAGCATTGACCAATAGAACTTTCTGCAGTGATAGGAATGTCTTATATGTGTGTTATCCAATATGGCAGCCACTAGCTACACCTGGCTGTTGGGCCCTTAAAAGGTAGCTAGTGCAATGGAAAGACCTGGTTTTTTCTTTTGATTTAACCAGTGTAAATTTAAAGAGCCACAGGTCTGCCATGTTGGACATACAGATATAGAAGAGTATTTTTCCAAAGTTACTTAATCATTAAAACCACCTCTTGGGGCTCTTGTAACCATATAGAACCTCTCTCCCAGTGATTATCATTCAAAAGGTCTGCAGTGGGGCCTAAGACTCTGTTTTTAATGCATGCCTGGAAAAGTTTTTATCAGATTGATAAGGGAAATACTGCATTTGAATATTTCTAAACTCCCCTTTAGTTCTCACATTAGTATTGATAACTTAAAATTTAATGTAGTGGAAATAAACTCTGGACAAAGTTGGCAAACTGGCCGGGCTCTCACTCTCCCACCTCCTGACCTGTGATCTTAAGTAAGTTGCTTAACCTCTTCAGGCGTCATCTTTCTCACCTGACTGTGGGTCGAGGTTCAGCTCTACCTCACTCTCAAGGTTTCTGTAAACCAATCAGATGTGATGACCAGCATACAAGAAAGTGTGAGCTGCTATAAAGTACTAAGATATCTTCTCAAAAACCCTTTTTCTTTTTCCTTTTTCACTATTGCCTGTTACTACTACTATTTTTATGGAATAGGTCACATACAATAACTCAATTTAGTAATTTCTTGTTCCCCCAACTATTAGGCCATAGTTTGTAGTGTATGTGGAGGACATGCATAGTAAATCTAACACTTTTTTGTATTTCTGTTGCTTAGCATAATGATTTGTCTATATTGCTCAATAAATACTGGATGACATCACCTATTGCTTTCCTTTTAGATCTCGAAACTTCAGTTAGCTGGTTGAAGATTATTTTACACACCGGAGAAATAACCCCCTATGTACACATATGTGTTTAATCCTATTTTTAATTGTTTCATTATTAATACCCCATGGTTATTCTTGTTCAGTGATAATGTATCTTTTGCACAACGAGCTCCAAATATATTTTCAAAAGAAACACCAAGATAATATCATCTTAGGTCAGTGTTTTTAGGTTATACCAAATCTGTTTAACTTATTTTATGCTGTATTAACATATTAATAAATGAGCTTATTTGATTGCTCAAACTACATTTGCACTGCAATTCCACCTTTAGTATGAATTCTCTTATATGTGGTAGAGTAGATAGCTGATAATGATCTTAAAGTCCCTCTCGGCTACTGCCTTTCAGACTTAATTTTGATGCGGTCATCTTTTTTTTTTTTTTTTTGATGCGGTCATCTTTTTTTTTAATTAGCTTTTCAGGTTCATACTTAAGGATTCATAGCTTTCTTCTGAAGAACTGAGAGCCCATTCATGTGAATTATTTTATCATACACCCTTCCTGTGTGGTACATGATGTTTCCTTATTTAGAAGAGAGGGAAACTAAGACCCAAGTATTTGTTACATCCAAAGTCGTAAGTGATAGAACCAGAACTTGAACCCAAACAGAAATGTGTATTTCTTATATATCCAAGGAAAGCTTCCTTTTGCTCACTGTTGCTTTAAGCTGTAGAATACTGTTATGTAGAATATTGTACTCTCCTGCCATTCCCTGGGTACTTTTCAGTTTCTTTAAGGGGGTTACTTAGTATATTAATTGTTTTCAGTTTTCTCTTTGACATGAATTTATTCTTTCACATGATCTTGTGGAAAACAAAAACCCAGTAATCCCAAATCCTCACCATTTTATCTTCCTCCTAATAGTAAGCTGAGAAAGAATGAAGGCATTTCTGTTAAGGCCAGTGAGTTGTATCACAATGCCAGACTGCTTTTCGTCCTGATGGCAGAATGACGAAAACCAGCAAGAGCTTAAATAGCTCTCTAGCTCCTACTGAGTTCAGTCATCATAGATCTCTTAATTCCTTTAGTTTTAACTTTGTGAGTTCACCCATACAACCTTCAAATTCAAGGATTTAAGAAACTTATACTTCATGACTAAATATAAAACCTGGAAAATTATGTGGGCCACTGCACCCTATTGGTTTGGATAGTGGAGAGTTGATTAACTTTTGATGAGCTTATTCATATTGACGTTATACTGTTATTACTTTGTTGTATATTTATTTGTCCTTGCATTTAGAATCTGAAATATTTTCTGTAAACTTTTTCCTAGAAAAGTTTTACTTTTCAAATCCATTATAGATTTTATAGGGTGGAAGGTTCATTAGGCTGGTAATTACAGTAAGGAAATGAAATTTTACTGTGATTTGTGACTCTTCCTTACATTTTGTCACTATAAAAACCTTTTTGTTTTTTCACTACAGAAGTATTACACAATTGCTGTTTAAAAAAGGAAAATGAAAACCATAGAA